TGAAGGTACATGTTGTAAATTGTAAACTACAGACTTTGTAGAGAAGATGAATAAAAAATGGCCCGATTCCAAACTTACATCCAATTCTATTATATTATTTCGCCCCACTCGTACTGTGAATCCCTTCTTTAATTTTATGAAGCATTATAATGTCAAACCTGATCACAATAACATTGAAAAGTAAAAATAAAGTACAGTATCCCTCAATATTCTTTCTCACTGACCCTTTGTCTAAAGCTACTCTAAATAACACCTTCAGTTGATATAGCGTCGAACCTAGGAACCACCCCAAGTGTCGGATTCAACATGTGTGTTGTATATGACTATACACCATTGTCTCAAACGTATATGGCGTCTATGTTCTTCAATGAGAGATTCTTGTACTTATTTGGAGTTTACTTTGTGCGAAGATTACTGTGTAACAATCTCGGAAGTACGGCTCTGTAGTTGACTACAGCATCAACGTCTTAAGTTGCTGCTTTGAGTGTTGTGGTGCAAGAAACTAGCCTTGTAGCACAACGAAATGTGTCCATTAAAAGCAAGATGGTTGTAAACCTAACCGCCCACCGCTACAGCTTAAACTTCGCTCCCCATACAAGAGGCAGAAAGTACTTAATGCAGGTGGCTGACCCACTCCCTGGCACCGATGTAATGGTCGTAAACTTGGACACACGCGCACACACGACAGCGTCTCGGAAGTCTGCACCGTCTCACGCTGCCTTTTCTTGCACCCTTAGCAAGCACAACACAGTGTTCTGTTCCACCAGCTTAAGGCAAAACTGATTTCATTGTTCACCGAAACAAACTGTTGAAATATCAGAGGAAAAACTGACCAGCCCTTTCCATGCTGCTACTTATTCGCAGATATTTATTCTAATTTAATATTACTGTCTTCCCAAGGTACCGTATGATTTATATTTAAAATTCTTATAAACTCAGTCAGTATAGTGTTTGGCTACGAACTGGACGCCCGGGGTTCGATCCCCGACGGGGGCAGACGATTTTTTTTTTTTTTTTTTCCCTCAAGCTTCTGCATCCAGACCGGTTCTGGGGCCCACCCAGCCTCCTGTCCAATGAGAACTGGGGTCCTTTCACGGGGGCAAAGCGGCCGGGGTGTGATGCTGACCACTTACCCCCTTCTAGTGTCGAAGTCAAAAATGAGTAGGAGCTATACCATCTCCCCCCACCCAAGCGCCTACATGGCGTATAGTGGGACAGCTTTACTTTTTGAACTCTAACATGCAACAAGCTAACAAATGAGAGAACTTAAAATTCTCGTTAACTTAGTGAAATTGTGTCGTCCTACTTGTTTTATTTCCATCTGTAGAAATGGCGACAGCCACGAACAATCTGTGTAGACTCTCGCCACTGTCCCTATAATAACACCACCTCACATTTTTTTTTTCGAATAACGCTTTTGCTCAGAACAATGGCATTCGCGTTCCCGCACTGTGAATTTTATGACCTCATATGCTTGCTCGTTCTTTCCTCTTTATTCCATAATTTTTTCCTGTCTCAACCCTACCGCAATTTCTCCTCACTGCACACTCAAAAAACCACAGAATCCGTTCTCACCCACTAGGATGATTTTTACCCCATATATCCCCATAGTCGTATTTTATCTCTCACATACGTGCGGCCTTTTGTATTGAAGCCACTGCCCATCACTTAGGCTCTGACGAACTTCGGCGTTCTGCCAACGGTAGAGGCATATTTGCGTGCAGGGTCGGAGCGAATAATTTTTGCTGAACGAGGGCGAAAAAAAAAATAGAACAGCGGAAAAGACAAAGTCACCATTTTTAACAAATTCATCTGTCTCTTCATTCTAACTTCGTTTCATTAACATTTTTGCTAACGGTACTCTTCGATAAATATCATTTAGGTGATAACAAGGGACACGCAATGAGCAGGGCATGGGAGTCATGAGAAGAACTATCCTCGAAAAACCTGGAGTGAAGATACACTCGGGAGACGTAGACGTATATGGGGGGATAATATTAAAGAAGATCTTAGACACACAGTTTGAGACGATGGAGACAAGATCGAATTGGCTCTTGTGAATATGACTCCATATATTTCTTGGGATTTTTTTGGATAGCTGAGCAACTATGAACTTCTCGAGGATACCGTTCTATGGAGCTAAGATCGCACCAGCAGAGCACTAGAATGACCTGACGTCTGCTCTCTTGTTTCACTACAGCTCGACGTGCCTGTCTGACCATAGTGCTGGCTATAGAAACCCCTTGAGACGTAGGCAGCCAAACTAACGCGATTATACAGCAGACAGGAAACAAGGGCAAGCAGACACCCCGCAAGGCAAAGTTACTCTATACGAACGAGTACACTCCGCACACAGATTGTTCACCCTTTGATTCTGCATGAGCTAGGTACTGTTCACTCTCAATCGAAAAAGTTTCTTGGAAATTGGTGTAGTCTTTGTTTACGTATTCACAATGCTTTGTCAACTGCAGAAGTTATAGCGCCGAACGGTAGGATTACTGTGTGAATGATAAATTAGAAAGTCTTTGATAAAAAGATATAATGCTATTTTAAAGTAACGTTCCAGCAAATCCACCAACAGACTAAAAAATAGTCAGTCAAGCGAACCAGTTACTGATCCTACATTCGAAGCCGAGACGTCCAAAAAGCTACCAGTACACAACGACGTTAAGTTTTAGGAAGTCAAACAACTTCGACTTCAGTCGTAGATCGAATAATAATAACATTAAAACTAATGTTAACGAACTAGGGCTTGAGAATGTGGAATCGATTCGACTCGGTCGAAGTTCAGTATCGAGATCTTATGAGCTCGGCAATAAACCTTCGGTTTCAATAAGAGGTACTGATTTTACTGACCAGCTAATATCGATACAGTTTCTACGCAGGGTTTCATGACAAATGATTAGTGTTGCAAGGTGACTGTATTGTGATGTGACATGTCACTGTCTGCCAGGCGTAGCCCCACCCCCTCCCACATCCCAGTTGGGAATATCACAAGCATTACGTAACAACACAAACATTTCTACTCGAGATTGTTTTAAGTACCTTTGTGAGATACGCCAATTTGCTATTTACTACATGTATTGGACAAAACTAACTTCCTTCTTCACGGTCTTACCTGAGCTATCGGTGTGTGTTTTAATTAAGAAGTTCGCGGCAGTACAGAACCCGTAGGTTCATCAGTCACCAAAAAAGTACACTACTGGACTAATCTGAGTCGATCATCCCAGCTCACATCCCTAAAACCTATTTTTTAAATATATTTTAATGTCGCTCTTAAATATTTGAACCCGGATCACACGGACAATACTGTGACTAGCCTGCAGGCTGGACAAGAGTGGTTCAGTTTCCGGAAAAACAATATTTTTCTCCTTACCACGTCACGTCGGCCCTGGGACCGTTGCAGTTCCCCCCCCCCCCCACACATTAAACCAGTGTCGTAGTTTCCGTAGGGATAAAGCGGTCGGGTCGTGTAGCTAACCACTCACCTCCATACAGAATATGCGTAGCTACATCTCCTGTACCTCTCTGCATGGCGTGGTTCTCAATTAAACACCAGAGACAACGTCTCCTTTACTTTATCTCAAAATATGATTTCTTTTTAAAGCAGTTCCACCTACCATCAACAGATGATAAATCTGTCAGACTCGAGTCACCACATGATATTTCACCTCAGCTGCAGCTCAGAGTTGGTACATAATTCACTCACTGGGGGTTAAAAAACCGGCACGTGTATAACAACACGCCCTCTCTCGTTTTCGAGAGGGGTGTAAGATTGCCACGTGATCGGTCGCTTGCACTTTTGTACAAAGTAGTTGAAGAGAAACCCAAGCTGTTTGTGAAGTATCAGATTATCACTGCAAATTAGTGCGTTTCATTTTCGCTCAACTATTGCGAATATTAGTTTGTGCACTGGTGATTCAGAAACTGTGACGGAGGAGGTTAGTTCAGTGTTAACGCTTCCGACTTGAATTCCGGGTGCGCTAGCCTTAGATCCCTGACGACACCGCAAATAATATCTGTTTCTCCAACAAATACTGAGCGATCTGGTGTAACGGTAAATCCCTAGACTTATTTTAGTACGGCATCCTGTTTGAGCCTCTACTGAGCAACATATTTTTCTTACCGTATTTTCTTTGGTTACCTCAGTTTCTCTGGCAAATACTGGAATAATGCCCTGAAATATGGCAGAATCGCGTCTTTCCAAGTCCTTACCGATTTATCATCTACGATCATCTTCTTATATTATTCGATTCTAGATAACGTCTGCAGATAAATAACCTAGAATATATGTGGATTGTTATTGGACAAATACAAAAAAAAATAATTTAGGCCGACAACATTTAGTACACACGTCAGTACCACAACGACAAAATATTACACGGCGAAACAACCAAAACCATAATCTATAATCTAAATCTATACAAAAAGCGCCTATTATTCTCGCATACAGGCGAAACCTACAGACCAACTGGACGAGTCATCCCATCTACTTGTTAACTTCATGTACTTCGTTAAAAAGCATAAAAGTAAATTATATTAATGATTTCACACTCCTTCCCCGAACGAGCTGCAACAACACACCAACCTGACCCCCGATAATGCAGTTAACAGTTTCTCCATGCTTGTCACGTGTGATTCCTATCTCAGAGAACGGATGGATAACTCGATGACAGTTTTCACTTAAATAATTCGCGGCCTCCGTAACAAAGCTCACAATAGCCACGTGACCCCACTTCTCACAGCTACAGCTTTCTCACGATCGGAATTACCAGCGTCCACTTACACTTAGAACGCGACGCGCAGACTACACTCTTCTCGGAAGATGGCTGTCTTCTGGGTTGTAGCGCCGTGTAGTCTGGTAGAAGTTTACCAACATTTCAAGGGTCTGACGATAGGGGCAGCAGGGATTATAGTCTACATACTTATCTAAAGACAGTAAAAAGATATTCGTTTGATTTTATCGGTACAACCAGAAGCCAGAGTTCGCTTTCTCTTACCTGCACCCTCGCCTCGGTCAAATCTATCTTCATAGCGATCTCCTCTCGCGTGTAGATATCTGGGTAATGGGTCTCCTGGAACGCCCGTTCCAGTTCCTTGAGCTGCGCCGATGTGAATGTCGTACGAATTCGCCTCTGCTTCCGTTTCTCCGTCAGTACTCCTTCGTGTCCCGGATACACCTTGTACGGCAATCCAGCTGCATGAGGGACAAATGCAAAAGATTTGCATGTAGCATAAATTAAACACGCTGACTGCTTGTTCACTGGGTGATACAACAAAACCTGTAAAAGTTTGAGTGTTTTCCATCGTCCGAGGCTTATTTGATGATTCACTCTCTTCACCAAATATTACAATGATCAGATCAAAGGGGGTGAGATGGGGAGACATGCAGAGAGCATGATGAAATAATAAATGTGTACAAAATTTTGAGAAATGAGAAGCCTGAAGGGAAATAGTATTGGAGCCTGTGAACTGTATTCATCTGGCTCAGGGCAGGAACCAGTAGCGGGCTCCTGTGAACACGGTAATGAAACTTTGATTTCCATAAAAGGCGCGTAATTTCTTCACTAGCTGTGCGCACTATCAGCTTCTCAAGAAGTACTCTACACCGTGAGAAAAACGGAGATAAATTTGAACATGCTTGCTGTAATTTTAATTTTTAAAATTTTTAAAGGCACATTTAACTGTAAGAAACCACTTGTGGCCTGTATATGAAAAAAGCGAGTGACAGTGGGATCAAGTTCTTTTATTATTCCATATGTACAAACTTGTAAGTTAGCCCACTGTTGTTCCCAGGTATTCAACTGCTCATCAGTCATCGCCACCAAACTGAAATGAAGCACACCATTCGCCCAATAGTAACACTGTTATTTCGTATTTTGCAGTCCACAGAAAAGTACATTTGAGACAACATTTTTCGAAGATCAATCACCACACATAATTTCAGGACCCTAATAGCGACAGGTGTTACTCCCACCTAATAAGATCATAGGACAGCCATTAGTGATAGCATAAAATTAGAAAGTTATTAAAATGGAGCGGTATGACGTCATTGCTAAGTTTTAAGAAAATAAGAAAATTATTTTCAAGTAATTACGGAAAAAACGCCCATATTCGCGCGCAGGCCAACAGCAGCTCAGTCCCTCAAGACGTTCTCCCACAAACGGGACCCGAAGGTTGGTTATCGTGCTTAAAAGATCGGGCCACTAATGCCTGTCATCAGCCAGATTAATCCAGTTCATATTGTCATGCCCTATTTACTTAACACTCGCTTTATTATTACCGTCCAAAGTTGTCTCTCCCCTACAGATTTTCCGACTAAAGCTGTGTAATACTGTTCATCTTTTCCATGCATGCTGCATGCCACGTCCATCACAAACTTGATTTTATCAGCCTAATTGTCTAATATTCAGAGAGCCGGCCACAGAGTACAGGACCTCATTACACCACAAACTTAGAATTCCAAGTTTATGTTGGAGAAAGTGGTAAAGACGTGTCCTATGACAACCTCATATCCTATAAAAGTCTTAAAGTCATATTTAAATTGTACTCCCTTTTGATATGGTAAAGTATTAACTTATAAAGTCTTCAGACATATTTACTAAAGCCTACAAGCGTAATGGCTTTTTCTATTGATAGAAGTGATTAGAAAGTACAATTTTAAGACTGCTTTGATGACAGTCCTTTTCCAAATTCTAATGACAGCCTATTATGCCAACACGTGTCGTGCAAAGAATGCCCTATAGCAACCGTTTGTTGTTCATTGCGTGCAGAAGAACCTAACCTAACCACGATGACACTACGACAATCTGCATATTGATTCAGCCCGTGCAGCACCAATAACATGGAGAAGTACAGCTGTGTGGTTGGGCTCCTCAGTGGAGCGGTTAATTAAGCTAATTTACAAGGAGTCCAAATCCCGACCTGCTGCATCACCATGTTTAAATTAACGCATGGAACCGCAGGCATGCAGCAGGCAATGGGGCGACCAAGATTTCGTATCGGCTACAACATGAAGCATATAAACTAGCGGCAAGACAAGAGTATAAATATATAACGAAGAACATTTTATACTAAACATGACTCAGTTCTCTACGTAAGGGATGAAGTTTTTAAACAAAGCAATATGAATATTAACAAAATGGAAATTCTTGCAGACTATGAAGTTAAACTAGGGGTTCGGACCATAAAAAGATACGGGAACAACTCAGAATTAATTTAGTTTATAAGAGGGAGTAAGGGTTAACAATTTAATATAATAAAAGATATTTTATCTCATGAATATTTAAGTAATGCCATAGTAATATTGCACAACAACTTTTTAACACTGCCACAATACTTAAGGAAATGCAGAAACTTGCCAACTGTGACTGAAAACACTGCCAGAAACTTGCCAACTGTGACTGAAAACGAAGGAAGGACTTGAGGATTTCGATATTTTCTAACGAGAGTCGTTTCATTCTGGTAATATTCTTAGAAATTTCGTTCACTCACAACTTCAGTTATCAGAAAACACTTATAGATTTATATGACGTGCATTGAGAGAGCACCAGTAAAATATTGTAAACAATAACAAAAAGTATTATCAATATCCCGAAAATGGAATGGGCAAATTTATGAAAGACGATTGAGACATATTCCGGACTGGGCTACATAATCTGTCACTTTAAGAGCTCTCAAACACACAGTTAATGTTAATGTATGTTAGGTTAGGTTAGCATGCATTAACTTATTGGCCCTGGTAGAAACACAGGGCCCACACAAGATACGGCACAGAAATCCCTTCTTGCAAACTTCCAGTTTTACAGTAGCGTTATTTTCATTTCGTATGCATTCGTATTTGAAATGATACATTGGCAAATCTCACTAAACTGAATTTCATAATATATTTTACTGTGTTTTCCCCCCTTTTCTTTCTTATTCTCTTCTTTCTTCGACCTTTTGAGAAGTCTGACTGTGGGGGAAGAGAGGAGACGGAATAAATAATGGAGACAAGAAAAAAGTCAATGTAAACGAAAGAAAAAGAAATGGGAAACCATTTCTTCCTTTCGTCGACCAGAATACATGAACAGAGTCGCTGTCCTAAATCGCTGTACTATATTACACTTCAAGTTCACTTCGACCTCACATTTGCAACGTGCACGCTAGGGTTCCACACTGTCATTGAGGGAGGAATTTCCTTCGTTATGACTAAAACTATTTCTCAAAAGATGTCATTTTACTACGACTGAATACAATAATTCTCGCATAAATTTTCAGACATCCAGTTTACTTTCTTTCCCTCTGAATATAATTTACCCCCGACTTTCGTGATATATAGAAACTTCCAAATGTCACGTAAGAGCTTAAAATGCCCCGTAATTGTTTATAAAGTTTACTAAAGATGCATAGGCCTACAGACGATTAATCTAATATAATATGTGGTTACAAGTTTATACCAATTAACATACGGTTCATTAAACAAGTGTGATATAAAATACAAGCGACTTCATTTGTTAGAAGTATTTATTTCAAGTATACAATATAAACCAATATTAATTATTTTAAGAAAATTGCTGAAACAGGGGGTGACTTAGTTAGCGTCATATTAAAATACAGATTACTATACCAGGAAGTCCACAATTTTTATTTACACCAAAATATTTATTTTATTTATTTATTGCCTTTATACGATGTCAATAGGCCTAGGGAATTAATGCTGATAAAATAAATTTTTATTAATAATTACCTGAACATCGCCGCTAGCTAATTAAGACTGTGTTTGTCCACCGCTAGTCTAAGTACAAAAGAAGGGAGACCACTAGTGCCCTCTCTATAAAGATGATTAATTAAAACATAAATTTAAATGAATCTTCAAAAATTGTATTTTCCTTCATTTCAACTTTCTGTTCTCTCATTTGGGAGTGTCATAAATAACTTGTAGTTTTCAGAAGCAATGCTCATGTTAATAATACGGAAACACTCATAAGGGAACATTCGTTTAATTGTGGTACACATGCAAAAGCTCGGAAGTAATGCTGTGATAATACGAAAGCCATATAAGGAACTGATATAAAACATGGTAAAGTAAGTGCAGACAGACAGGAATCATGACCCATACTACGAGCGACAGAATTGTTTTGCGGAGTTGGGGGAGGATTTTCGACATGCGGAGTTCTCTGAGGCGTGGAATACGGGAATTCCTTTCCTTGTTAAAGTCTTGGTCCCTCTGTGTACGCTCCTGCTACATAAAAATGCTCTTGCCTATTTTATGATCTCCATTTTAGTGTCGCAGCATGCAGAAAGAGCCATAAGACTAACTTTATGACGTCATTTCACTACTCCCTCCTTCCAGCATCCCTGTCCTAAGTTATAGCTTCATGCTCTTGGTGTACTGACAAAGGGGAGAAATGTTTCTTGACACCCGTTCGATATGTGCCAAAAAAGTCATCTTACCACCTAAACAAATTAAGCAATCGTTCCATTCAGCGTTTGTAATCCACATTTGGCAGAATAAATCACTGAACCGACGACTCTTAATTTCGCCATTTTCAGATCAAAACTAATTCATGTATAAACACGCACACGGGCAAAGCGGAAGACAACTAAGAGAAGGAGGAAGAAGAATAACGATAATAAGAAGTGTCCTTCACTCGGACTACTTAACAAAGTGGAACAAAGAACGCTTAAAGCTTGTTCCGGTTGTTTATGCCGTAAAGGGATCTACTGCTTTGTGCACTGCGACTCCGAGAAGAACCAGGAACTAGCAGAAGAAGCAGCTCGCCTTTTCCCGAGAACGGTTGAGGAATTGCACAGCTAATGGAAGCTGAAGTCTGAGGCAGGCGAAATCTCACTGGAGACTTGACAGTCGGAACGGCGAGAGGGAATGAACGCACCGACGTTCTAGAACCTTCAGTTACTGATATTTGGTCTCCGGCTTTCTGGATTATTTTCCAGTGCCGGTTTAGTTCACTGCGCTTTGTACCACGGAGCCATGCAGTTTACCCACAGTGGACAGCACGACTGGAGTTCCATTCCAATTAGGGGGAGGAATATTTTATTTCCACCAGCACATTTTCTTGTCGCGAATAAAGCGGCCGGGACTTGAATGTGAAGACTCATCTTAATCTAACGTTTAGAATACGCGGAATTTAATCTCCATTCCCTCACACTCATTATTTGGTACTATGTTAGGCATCAGCACACAACTTTACCTTT